AAGTAACATACCAGTCCTTCCAGAAAAACGAAGTCCAAAAACCAGCACAAAAAAAAAGGTTTTTTATTGTTGCAGGCAAAAATCCTTGATTATGCGGCCCGTTTTCTTTAAAAATGCGATGGAATATGCAGGATATTTATGCAATTTTATGCGATGAAATTGCAGGAACTTGCAAAAATTGCGGGAACTTGCAAAAACTGCGGTTTGATGAAAAAGAGAAAAAAAAAATTTATTCCCTCAACACAATGTTCTCACTAGGCGTAATGACCATTTTGTTTTATTTTATCACTTTGGGGTAGGTACGCAAAACTAAATTCACAACGCTTTATCTGTAGAGTGGGAAAGGGATCCTCCATAGAGAGAGGCTAGTTGGCACTTCAGCACTGCATTGTCATCGGGTCCAGGCTAGGGATAAACAAAGACACTCAAATTAGCGTAGATGCCATTCTTCTTATGATGTAACGAGTACATCAGGATTTAAGGGAAGTGTTCCCAGTTCCGGGTGACCTAATCTATGCAGCCTAACATTGAATTATAGAAGTCTATAATGTATTATGTGTATTCTAGGGCAAAGAGAAGAGATGAGTGGTACCCGGTGGGGTCTTCTGCTGTTGTAGCCCATCCGCCTCAAGGTTGTGCGTGTTGTGGCCTCACAAATGCTTTGCTGCATACCTCAGTTGTAACGAGTGGTTATTTCAGTCAAAGTTGCTCTTCTATCAGCTTGAATCAGTCGCCCCATTCTCCTCTGACCTCTAGCATCAACAAGGCATTTTCGCCCACAGGACTGCCGCATACTGGATGTTTTTCCCTTTTCACACCATTCTTTGTAAACCCTAGAAATGGTTGTGCGTGAAAATCCCAGTAACTGAGCAGACTGTGAAATACTCAGACCGGCCCGTCTGGCACCAACAACCATGCCACGCTCAAAATTGCTTAAATCACCTTTGCCATTCTGACATTCAGTTTCAGGAGATTGTGTTGACCAGGTCCACACCCCTAAATACATTGAAGCAATGTGATTGGTTGATTAGATAATTGCATTAATGAGAAATTTAACAGGTGTTCCAAATAATCCTTTAGATGAGTGAATGTGCCATCCATCCATCCATCCATCCATCAATCTTCTTCCGCTTATCCGGGGCCGGGTCGCGGGGGCAGCAGTCTAAGGAGAGATGCCTAGACTTCCCTCTCCCTAGACACTTCCTCCAGCTCTTCCGTGGGGACACCGAGGCGTTCCCAGGCCAGCCGGGAGACATAGTCTCTCCAGCGTGTCCTAGGTCTTCCCCGGGGTCTCCTCCCAGTGGGAACATCTCCTCCCATGCCTGGAACACCTCCCCGGGAAGGCGTCCAGGAGGCATCCGGAAGAGATGCCCGAACCCCCTAAGCTGACCCCTCTCGATGTGGAGGAGCAGCGGCTCTACACTGAGCTCCTCCCGAGTGACAGAGCTTCTCACCCTATCTCTAAGGGATCGCCCAGCCACCCTGAGAAGAAAGCTCATTTCGGCCGCCTGTATCCGGGATCTTGTCCTTTCGGTCATGACCCAAAGCTCATGACCATAGGTGAGAGTAGAAACGTAGATTGACCGGTAAATCGAGAGCTTTGCCTTGCGGCTCAGCTCCTTCTTCACCACAACAGACCGGTACACCGACCGCATTACTGCAGAAGCTGCACCGATCCGTCTGTCAATCTCCCGTTCCATCCTTCCCTCACTCGTAAACAAAACCCCAAGATACCTAAACTCCTCCACTTGAGGAAGGATCTCTCCACCAACCTGAAGTGGGCTAGCCACCCTTTTCCGACTGAGGACCATGGCCTTGGATTCGGAGGTGCTGATTTTCATCCCAGCCGCTTCACACTCGGCTGCAAACCGTCCCAGTGCATGCTGAAGGTCCTGGTCTGAAGGGGCCAACACGACAACATTATCCGCAAAGAGCAGAGACGAAATCGTGTGGTCCCCAAACCTGACACCCTCCGGCCCCTGGCTGCACATGTGGATTGGTTGGGCAAACTCCCATGAACCCTCCAGCACCCTGTATAGGGTATAGAGCTGGTCCAGTGTTCCACGGCCTGGACGAAAACCGTCCATTTATCTTATTTTGATTATTAAGTAACGATGTGGACGGTAGAACGCGTGACAGACAGTTATACAAGTTCGATTTGGGAATAAAGTGAGAGTTGTGAGATGCCAATCACCTCCATGAGTCTGTCTGGCCTCTGCAATAACAACTTCAGCTGTGACTGTGAGCTATCCCTATTTTTCTTCCCAACACAATGCGCTACAAGACCTTAAAGGGGTCATGAACTGGCTTTTTAAATTTAATTATACTGTTGTCTGAGGTCAACTTATGACGTTCACATGGTTTTTGCATTCAAAAACATCAAAATGAATAAGTAATAGGCTATTTTCTACCCTAGTTTTGCTCAAAAACGCTCGGTTTTTATGGGCGTCTCGCACTGAAGACTCTGGGTCAAACATGTATGGGCGAATCATTCCGGTTGCGATTTTACAACATTGGACATTTTCAAAACAATTTCCCCCACGTGCACCGACGAGTGAGTTGAAACTCATTATAATATGCAAAACTGTTATCCACTCACAGCAGTGGGCATTTACTTCAGAGTCCGTGTGTTGCACCATTCCTGTCAGATCCAATATAGACGGCACAGCACCGTTCTTTAATTTTAATCGTTCTGCAAATCCAGTCTTGTTTACAAAACAATCCTCAGTGAAATGAAGCGAACAGACGGACAATGTTTTACCCTCATCAGCTGGAACGTCATTAAAAATAAAGTTTAACCATGCATTCCTATTGGAATCCAGAGGAAGCATATGCAGCGACTGTCTTCTTCCACAACCAGACACTGCAAAATATTTTGTATTGCTTGGTAGCTCGATCCAGTTTGTCATCGCGAGGTAGGCCTATGTTATTTAGCTATGCGTGTAATGCACGAATCGGTGGGCGGGGCTAAACCGGCCGTGTTGAAGTAGGCATTGATCTTCTTCTGCGGGGATGGTGTTTTATCCTCTTTGACGTCATAGTTCCCCACTTTGAAAAACGAGTCGTTTGCTGAGCCTGGTGTCAATAAAAGCTTTTATTGGACTAACAAGGACGTTTTCAGTTCTGAAACTTACAGGATATTCTTATAATATGATGACCTCTTAGATGTCAAAAGCTCAAGGAAAATTTGATTTCTCAGTTCATCACCCCTTTAATAAACACATCAATCTGGATCCGGAGTGAGAAGCCGTGCCGTTGACAAAGCCTTTCTGCGGGACGAGCCTCTACAAGTCGTTGGCCTTCATCTCGCTGCCTTCAGTCGCCGTTCCTGCTACGCTATCCGGCGTCTATATCCTTTTACACTCTGCAAAGTGTGTGCTCGCCGTCGCGACTCACACTTTCTTTTTATCTAAAAGAGCAGCGCCTTTTTAAAGATGCTTTGTTCCAGTGGCTCGTGCCGAGCCGCACTCAGCGACGGGGACCGCCATTTCATCTGCTTTTCCCGTCTGGGTAAGGATCATGCAGCTCTCACACTCGCTGATGGCGGCTACCATCATTGCCATGGCTATTGCCATGGTGACTCTGAGGCTGTAGTGCCGCGCCGTAAAAGCGCCGTACTCAGCGGGTCCCCGAGCCTTCTCCAGCCCGTGAAAGCTCGCCGGTTCGCCCGCCAGCTTCACCAGCTTCATTCGAGTCGCTGACTGACGGACAACAGCCGTCCCTTCCGCCATTAATGACGACTTAGCTTTCTTCTTTACGTTATAAGAAAGCTACCCCGCCCCCGCCCCCTGTGGGCATGCGTCACCGGCGAAATGAGGAAAGAGTGTGTTTTAGTCAATGAGCCTGTTGTATAACACGCACGCCTCCAAACAAATGCCTACACACACAAAACTGTGATGACGCTCACTTATCTATCGGCTTGAGCAAATATATACACTGCTGAAACTACCAAATGTAGACGTGCTGACCCGGAAAAGGAAGAAAAACAGCACAAAATACAATGGATGCAGATGTGAATAAAATTATCCAGTGTTTTGCTTTCCACAATATTTTTAAAAGTCATTAAGCTTTTTATCTTACGGTGGCACTGTAGCCACGAGTGCTTAAAACCGTGCCTCCCCATATCTCGTGAAATGTCTTCAAACACGGATTTATTTCTGTAACAACCCTGCATTTTTGCCTGCACTGTCTCTTCGCCCCAAACACTCAAAAGACTTGAAACCTCCGCATTGCTCCACTGTGTGTATCCTTCGTCCTCCATTGCGCCGTCCACTTGAGTTGACGTCACTTTTTTAATGACGTACGACTCGCATTTACTGGGGAATATCCGATTTGTCTGCTTACATGGCACACGCAAATGCACGTATCCGATTCATATCCGATTTATTACCACATATGAGTGAGGCCTGAATCTGATCTGAGAAAATCAGAATCCATGCGTTTTTTTCCTGCTTACACGTTCACCGGTCATATCCGATCTGTGCCACATGAGAGGAAAAAATCGGATTTGGGTCACTTGAACCATGCAGTGTAAATGGGGCCTAGGTCTCAAAGTCAATTGGGCGAAAAGTTCGCTGTCTCCCAGTCAGAAAATATCCTTTCTGGGCACAGAGCTGAACTCGCTGTCTATGAGAGCGCGACAATCGCCAGAGCACATCAGCAATCACGCCACCGGCCTGGAGCCATTTTCCCACTGCCCTCGGCCTGCTCGCGCTCGCCACGAAGTTGTTTGTGAAATGAATATTTGATAGACTATTGTTGACATTGTTTCACACATGCCTCATATGTGCAATGAAAATAATTAAACTCCTCAAAGAAACAAAACACATCCCTTCATAAATTTGATGGCAACACACTAGTTTTCTGAAATATAATTTTATCTGTATGAGATGACCATGCACTGCTTGAGCGATGACACTGACACGAGTATTTTCACATTGTTGCTTTACTGTTTAGTTCATCTTGTATACAGTAACACTCAGTGTACAGTAACACTTAATCTGAATATCAAATCAAGTCATGGATCTGAACATTGCTCACTTAGACACTTTCAGACAAAGCTTTTTCTTATGTCGTTGTAGATTAGTCAATAGGCTGAAACTTCTCCCACATGAAGAGCACTGGTGCGGTTTCTCTCCAGTATGAACTCTCTCATGATTTTTCAGGCTTCCTGACTGAGTGAAACACTTTCCACAGTGTGAACACTTGTACGGTTTCTCTCCAGTATGAATTCTCTGGTGTTGTTTTAAGTTGCAGGATAGAATAAACCTCTTTCCACAGTCAGAGCACACATAAGGTCTCACACCAGTATGAATACGCTCATGCTCTTTTAACTGTTGCACTTGTGAAAAATTCTTTCCACAAACAGAGCAAAAGTGAGGCTTCAGAGCAGAATGAACATTAAAGTGTTTTTTTAAGCCTGATTCCAAAACAAATGTTTTATCACACTGATCACAGCTGAATGATCTCACTCCAGAGTGACTGCGCAGATGAGTGCTGAGATGACTTTTCTGAGTGAAACTCTTTCCACACTGAGAGCATGTATAAGGCCTTTCTCCAGTGTGAATTCTCATGTGTTCATTTAGGTGTCCTTTTTGTCTGTAACTCTTTCCACACTGAGTGCATGTATAAGGCCTTTCTCCGGTGTGAATCTTCATGTGCCTGTTCAGCTTTGATTTAGATACAAAACTCTTTCCACACTCAGAACAGGTTAAAGATCCTTCGACTCCAGATTTTTCAGCTTGTTTGAAACTTTTTTCAGTCTTTGAAACGACTGCATTTCCATCTTCATTTGTGAAATAATGCGGTTTTTGAAACTGATGCTGTTTGTCTCCATTCACTTCCATCAGGTCTAAGATAAACAAATGGAATTCCCATAATTCAATAAAAGGATACATGAGAAACAAAAATAAACATTGTTCAAAATCTCAATTTTGCACAAATCCAGTTTACTACTGAGTCTACTAGTATCTAGTTTTAGATGTTATTTTTATATGTAAGTTTTCATCTTAATGTTCCTCGTAAGTCATTAAAGAGAATGAAGGAAAACACCAACCTATTTGTTCCTCTGTATCTTCATCTTTTATTCTGCAGGGTTCTTCCTTAATCTCCATCTTTACAATAGTATGTCCGTAGTTTCTCCTGGAGTAATTCCTCCTGCTTGCTTCTTCTTCTCCTGTGGGAAGATGGGAATATTCCCCAGCATTTAAACTCTCATGAACGGCTGTGGGAGCTTCACTGACTGAAGGAGTGAATTGTGGTCGTTGTTGCTCATTTAGCAGATGATCATCACACTTACAATCACTCGAGATTATCCAGCTTTAAGTGAATTAAGGGTTTATTGCTGTAATCAGACACCAATTAAATGTGGGAATGTGTGCAAAATAGAGACAAAGTAATTGTTTGCCATTCAGAATAGATTTAACTAAAACTATTTCACCAAAGACTGTAGCATAATTTACAGCAGCAAGTTTAGAAAATGTTGTAAAGTTTAATATAGGCACACATAATCTATTATCTGTTTTTAAGCCTATGGATAGTTCAGTTGAATCTTTGCTGTCTTTGGCTAACTTTTAATGTTGTTAAATGTAATGTTCGAGGAAAACTGCCTGCTTAAAGCTACACTGTGTAGAAATTTCTCCCATCTAGCGGCGAAATTATACATGAATACCAACTAAATATTACTTTTTAGCCCTCAGTGGCCGTATTATTCCAAGATTAATATGGCTTTTTGTTCAACTTCGTCCATGAGTGTTCATTGACACAAGGAAAAGTATCCTAGACGTCGTTAAGTGTATTCAACCATGCTATAATTAGCCAAGCAACTATAAAACTTTGAATTTACACAAATAGGCTGAAATACCTGTCGAGAAGAAAGCAGCCACCTTCTGTCACGGTTCACAGGTTCACTCTCATTCTGTGTGTTACTGCTCTGATCTGATTGCCCATGAGCGTCAGCTGTGCTGACGAGCAATCAGATCAGTCGCAGGTGTACCTCGTTTGTGAGTCCTATATGTAGTGCTGTGTTTGTCATGTTCAGTGTCAGATCGTTGTTTCCCTGGTGCTGTTCGGGTCTCATGTTTGATTTCAGTCTCGTCCTCAGTTCCTGTTTTCACGGATTCCTGCAGCTCTCTGCCAGCCCTTTCACTCTGCTTCAGTGGATTATCTGGTCCGTGTCGTTTTCACTCTGCTTCAGTGGATTATCTGATCCGTGTCGTTTTCACTCTGCTTCAGTGGATTCTGGTCTGTGTCGTTTTCACTCTGCTTCAGTGGATTATCTGGCTCGTGTCGGACGTACTGGGTTCCGGGACCACGCTTCACCCACTGCAGTCATCTGCGTTGCCAAGGCTCAGCTGTCTGACTCAGGACTTCACCAGCCCTCCAGTTTCACTGTTCACTGTGTTTATTAATAAATACTTTTTACTTGCAATTGGATCCTGTGATTCCTACCCTGACACCTTCGGTGTCCCTTTTAAAATCCTTGCTCCTCATGAGCTCTTTCCATCTTGGAAAAGTCACTACAATATTGACTTTGGTCATGTTGATTTGCCTGTTGCGTTGCCATTTTAATTCTCTCTTTCACTTTGTAGCGACTGACCGAATCCTGTTTTCCTTTCACTACTGAACAAATATGAACACATATATGTTTAATGCACAAAACCTTGAATCATGTGATATGGTGCCCCAATGTCTGCCAGCAGGTCATTGATTAACTTCATTTATGACGCATTGCGCAATCAAGAAACAGGTCCCCGTTGTTCTCAAATCCTTACGCTGCTTGCAATTTGTGCTCAGTCACAAAGAATAAGAACTGATCCATTCAGGGTCTCGAGCTAATTTCCCCCCCCCCCCCCTCATCAATTATTATGTCTCCGTAGGCTGATAAGATTTAAACACAAAACTACCCTTTTGTCTTCAAGGCAACCATTTGCGAACTAAACCCTCACGTGGTATACACCACGGATGGTCAGATGCTGACCATAAGGATACCCACACACGCCACACATACCCGTGCACAAACGTCCTTTGTGTGCAACTTAGGATAGAAATGTCCTTAATGTATATAACACAGAATTGTATCTGACCTTCCCGTATGCATGCATATCTAATTAGTTTTGTCTTATTCTATGGGTGTAATTGGAGACTGGTCTGTAATTTCGAATCTTAAGTTTATTTCTAAAAAAAAAAAAAGATTCCCCAACAGGATCACCTTCTGTAACTCTCCCTCTTGCTAGGTCATAAAACTTTATGACCCCCAAAGGGAATTCCAAGAGAATCACAGCTCCCACTTGAATTCTGATGAAGAAAGAGGAATAGACTCTGCAATCTTATATTTTCTATAAGTATAACCACTTAAGAAATGTATAAACATGAATTTGATCTTTCCTAGGTCATGGTAGCCGGTATTATGGCTTTATAGTCGTGTGAGTGAACATTAAATGCTTATAAAATGCATATCTTATGTAGCTCTGTATTCCAATAATCTTCATGTGACATGTTTGATATTTCTGTAATTCCCTCAATCTAACGGAGCCGAATTCCGATAGCAGAATGCAGTAATGTGCATTCTTTTACACATTTCATAGTGCTGGAGCCGAACGGCTCAACACAATCTTCTCAGTCCAGTGGGCATCCCCCACAGGACAAAGACAACTTTGTCCGCTTCAGATTCGCGGATGGTCATGTGTGGTTCGCGCACACAGAGGCGTGAACCCAGTTTTTCCATAAGAGACTGACACAGAAGTTTCTTGCTGAGCACTAGAGAGCTTTTTCCTGTGAGAGGTTTCCGGTTCCATGGCTGCTTAAGGGAGCTTTACGCCGTGTTTCTCCGTTTTCTTTAATCTTTCTTTATTTTCGTCTTCGGACTTTCTTACGTTTGGTTTCAGTGAAATGAACGTAATCGGCAACTTCAACTTTAAAGAGACTCTTTGAACCAACCAGCAACTGCACCTCAAAGGACATTCAAACTAACGCGCTCCCTCGCTCTGAAAGACCATGTGAACGCGTGACACGAGGACAGAGACACACACACACGCTTTCTTCTCAGACACGGAGAATCATGCAAGTACCCGTTTTACCATGCTTTCAAGGTTTAAGATCTGTTGACTCTTGTTGTCTCAAAGGTTCTGTGTCTGTGATGAATTTTGCCAAACTCAATGATCTTTCCTCCCTTTCTCTCTCACTCTCTGTCTATCTCACATGATCGTTCGCAATCATCTCTCTCTCTCTCTCTCTCTCTCTCTCTCTCTCTCTCTCTCTCTCTCTCTCTCTCTCTCTCTCTCTCTCTCTCTCCCTCATTGTTATCTTCCTCTCTCATCCAATTATTTCGTGTTTGTAATGTTTTTCGTTTTGTTTGTTTCGGGTGTATACTGTACATACACTGTAAGAAATTGCTGTAAATTTACAGCAGAAATGTACAGTACTGAACCGTTTTCTGAAATTTCAGTTTCTTACCGTTAAATAGCACGTGATCTGTGGGGGAGGGAAGGAACCGCGAACGACGTACTTTGGCAGTTGGCACGAGTGACTGACACACGTCTTTCTCGGTGGAAGCACAGCTTTCATATTAAAGCTCATTTACAGGTACCAGAACACGGGTGAATCTAAAATAATTGTGTTTATTTTCAATCTTATTAATTTCACGCTTTAAGATAGTGGATGTAGCTAAATTTATTGTTCCTCAAAGTTAAGCGTTTGTGTGTGTGTGTGTGTGTGTGTGTGTGTGTGTGTGTGTGTGTGTGTGTGTGTCTCTCCGCGCTCGCGCGTGCAGCATATTTGTGTTCTTTCATTGTACAAGTTACCCTAATATAGAGGGAAATGTAAAATAAGTGCGTTCGTTGGATTCTTTTATTAAAGGAACACTCCGACTTTTTGGGACTTTAGCCTATTCACCTTATCCCCCAGAGTTAGATAAGTCCATACATACCTTTTTCATCTCCGTGCGTGCTATAAGTCTGTTTGACGCACCCACCGCTAGCCTAGCTTAGCACAAAGACTGGATGTAAATGGTTGCAGCTAGCATACTAATCCAAATAAGTGACAAAATAGCGCAAACATTTTCCTATTTACATGTTGGGATTTGTATAGTCACAGAGTGTACAAAAAACTACGTCACATGAGACACAGACATATTTTAACAGTATAAATACTGGGAACTATATTCTCTGAAGGCGAAGCACTGCTACTTGGGCGGAATAATAACCGCAGCACCTGAGACGCGCTCTCTGCTCCTCACCACGGCGCGTCTCAGGTGCTGCGGTTATTATTCCGCCCAAGTAGCAGTGCTTCGCCTTCAGAGAATATAGTTCCCAGTATTTATATTGTTAAAATATGTCTGTGTCTCATGTTTTTTGTACACTCTGTGACTATACAAATCACAACATGTAAATAGGAAAATGTTTGCGTTATTTTGTCACTTATTTGGATTAGTATGCTAGCTGCAACCATTTACATCCAGTCTTTGTGCTAAGCTAGGCTAGCGGTGGGTGCGTCAAACAGACTTATAGCACGCACGGAGATGAAAAAGGTATGTATGGACTTATCTAACTCTGGGGGATAAGGTGAATAGGCTAAAGTCCCAAAAAGTCGGAGTGTTCCTTTAAGTACCGTAGGTTTTTTAATTTACCGCCTTTCGCCAGTATGTTTTTTTTACGCGGTGGGGGATGGTGGAACAGCTAACGTTAGGTTCTGTAGCACGCACGAGTGAATTGCACACGTCTGTCTCATTTGAAGTTATATGAACTTATTAAATGTCAGTGTTATTATTTTGGCTTTGTACAGTATATGAGCACAATCATTTTAACAGCATACCTTTGCACTCGATAAATTTGCTCCAACTAACGTTACGTACGTCGTCGATATAACAGAGGACATTCACTTAAGTTTCATTTGAACTTGTTCCTCAAAGTTAAAACACGCATATCTGTGTTTTGATAGCTGGATTGTGCTCTTCCATAGTGTAAAATGTTTACTTGCAAACTTTGTGCACACACATGCAGTACTTTACCTGCATTTGTGAGACACATGCACATTCATATTCATGTCGCGAATGTCAGGTTTAATTGTGCATTGCCTGCTTGTAATAAGAGTTTCAAAAAGTTTTCAGCTTTCAAAACTCACTGTTATCGACACAAAGAGGGGAAATCTAAGCTCAAATCTATGCCATTGACTTCATTTGAATTAACGTGCCATGTTGATTGTGTCAAGTCAGGTGTGACACTATGAGTATATTTTATCAGCATCTTAAAACTCACATTAGAGAGGGGAGAAGCGTTTCATGTCCATTTCAGCTATGTGACAAGTCTTTTTCAATTGTGTCCACTTTTACAGCACATGTATCTAGAAAACACTGTGATTGTTCAAAGGTAAACCTGATTGATTCAGTTGCACTTCCTCATAGCATACATGAGTGCTCTGAACAGCATCATGAAATGCCACAGGACTTTCTTTGCAGTGATACTGATGGTGTGGAACCAGACACCTTTGGTGAAAGTGTGGACGAAGATCAGTTTTTGAGACATCTAGCTCTATTTTATCTCAAATTGCAATCA